CACTGAGGTTTCCTATCTGTCATACCTTGGACAAATCCCTTCCTCTCTCCAGGTCTTAGTTTCGTCATTTGTAAAATAGGGGCTGGACTAAGTGCTTCTGAGGTCCCCCAGGATTATGAATCTATCCTATAACATTAATAAAACTGGGCAAACTGTCCAGGGCCAAACTGAGAGTATAGGGTAAGAATGACTTTGAGCCCGACGAGGTCCATGGAGTCCCAGGTCACAAGCTGCATGGGCCCTCCACGGAGGCCAAGCCCCGCATTTTACAGGTGAGGAAAGGGAGCCTCAGAGAGGGGCGGTCATTTGCCCAGGGTCCCACAGGTAAGATGTGTCAAAAGTAGGATGTGAACTGAGGTCATGGGAATTTAGAGTCAATGACTCCCCAGCAGTCCACACCACAAACATTTCTTTTATTGGGCTAGTCAAAATTTTTAAATTCTTAATGAGAAATATAGAGATGGAGAGAGCTGGCACCCATATTTCTGTGTGTGTCTATTGTACAAAGGCCATCCAGAGATGCTGTCCCTTTTGAAGCAGGCAATTAAAAATTAAATATAAATAAATATAAAAATTAAAGTAAAAATTAAAAATTGTTTTATCTAGTCTTTGAACTAACAGTTACTCCAGCACACATAACCTCAGCTGCTTCCTTGCCTGGCCTCTGAAGGGCTGTATGCTGGGTTAGTCAAAAAATACCTTCTGTTCCTATTTGGAATTCTAATTTAAAGGAGATTTGGTGTGCCTCCTTCTCTTCCTTATAGAGGTAAAGGACTACGGGTGTGGAACACTGTATATGATATCAGCCTCGGCCGATGTATTATCAGTTAGGCTGAACTGCTTTTTTCTTTCTTTATTAAAAGGAATTAGCTATAAGGGATGGCTTGCTGGAGAGGGAAGGGAAAATATACGACACAAAAGTAAAAGCTATTGATACCAGTTTATCGTGTTGCTTTTTTAACTTAAAAAATAAAAGGGGAATTCGGAAAGACCATCAATAAAGCAAATTCCAGGACCCCTATTTAAAACAGCCAAGTCTTTCCAAATGCCAGTGGCCACAAGGATTCTGCCCCTCGGGGAGAGGAAGGAGAGGTCCACCCTGAGTGACAAAGGTCAGATTTCTGCAGGCTATGGCCCTTCTGGAACTCAAAGTGCTCCTGGGCCATCATTGTCTGCCACGGTCCCAGGGGGGCAGAGGCGGCTCCAATCTGTCCCCACTGCCAGAGGGACGCCCCTGTGGTCACTTTAATCAGTTCAGGGTCACCAAAATCTTGCTGTCCTGGTTCCTGTCACTCCACCCCCACCCCAGACCCTAAATCTGCCCCGTAACTTTTTGGGCACTCCCGGTGCTGATGTCAGCAAAAACAGAAATGCGTTCAGAGATCCCAGTTATACTCAACAAGGGCCTGTCTTGTCAGTTCTCATCCACAGGCCCTTTTCTGAATCCAGGAAGGAGCTGAATGGGCTTATAGGGACAGAGGATCAAGAGTCAGCTTGAAGACATTTGTAATCATGGTCTTCATCCTCTAGTACACTTTACTGTGTATTTGGGTCCCTTTTAATCCACCCAGTTCAGATTTAAATAGATTCTTTCTTAAATAAAATCCGAATTTCTACAGAGATAACACTTGCATTATACAGAACTTATTTTCAAATAAAGGCACTGAATACTGCATTCATGCTAACCATATCATAGTCTCTCTACTTAACAAATGTGTATTCAAACACAGGCACAATTTTAGAAATATGAGTGTATATACGTATGTGTATATAATGCTTCATATACATATATGTGTGTACTATGTGTATAGACATATATTTGTGTAATATGCACACCATATTTTTCAAGAGTTGAGATTGTGTGGTCCACTTTTAATTAACAAAGTTATCTGGTAGAGCATTTTAAATCACGCACTCAAAACATCTGCCCTGAATTAAAGCCTGCTTCTCTTATACAGACAATGGGAATTGAATTAAAGAATATTTGGAAACCCCTGCAGAGATATGAAAGCATTAACAGCTGCATGAGAACGTAACTGTCACAAGTCAGAAGTTTTTCAGATCGACAGACGGCCATGCCGTCCAGATCTACGGGATTTTTAAAAACAGACTGTGAAGGAGAGAGAAAAGAAAACTCCTTCCTGCAGAAAATGGGAGGAAGCAGGTCCCATCTGGACGGGTGGGACCAGGCTGCATGCCCCGGCCCTGGCCCCATTTTCCACATTAATCCCCAGCCTGGCACACATAGTCTGCATCCTACTGCGGGCGGAAGATAGAATAAGATGACAAGATAATCTCACCAAAGTACCTAAAAAAACCCAACCTTGTTAGACAGTAAATCTACAACACTGTCTCAAAGAGAAAATGAATAAGTTTGTTTTCCATCTTTTGGAATAAAGCTGTTCTCATGGAAATGGCTCTCGCCAGCTCTGCTGCTCATCCCAAGGCAGGAGGCCTATCTCAGTAGGTTGTTTTTTCCCAGTGGATTCTTACTGGTTTCAAATGCCACTTCTTTTCAACATCAGAACCAGCCTGGCCCTCGGCTTCCAACCTCCTGGAGGTGGAGGTCCATTCAAAGGCCGAGGCCCAGCAGGAGGCCAGGCTTTCTCCTGTGCGTGTAACTGTATCACTCATCATCGGCAGCCTCCTGCCATCAAGAGCCGATGTTTTCCTTCAGTGTCTCCTTGCATTCCAAAAGGCCAGTCACGGCCCTACGACCCCAGGCCATAGCCTCCCTGTCTCCATCAGTAGCCCCTGCAGAGGAACAGGGCGACTCTGTCCAGCCTACAGCTAGGCCTCTGCGTCAGTGGTGCTTCCAAGTGTACACTGCCTAAAAATTACCTTTTGTCTAGATCTGGCCTCCCTGAATGTGCTCAGCAATAGTGAAATTCAATTGTGTGTGTGTGTGTGTGTGTGTGTGTGTGTCTGTCTGTCTGTAGATGAGTGTGCAAGTACACTCACATGGGCATGTGTAAGGAAATTCCATCTAATCAGAAACAGAGGCTGCATTTGGGTCAGCAGTGGCTGACACAGAGTCAGACTTGACTTGAATCATGGTACAGACACCCTTCCTTTTGATTCTTTACTCAGAAAGGTACCACCTAAAAACAAAACAACCCCCCAAAAAAACCTCTCTGCCTAGGACACACAAAGGTCACACAAACCTCTTAGGAGCTGGGAAGACGTCTTCCACCTTTCCGACATGCTACTCCCCCTCCCCAGTGCCTAGGACAGGGGTGACAGACAAAAGGGGCTCCACAGTTGTTTGATTACTGATTTAAAGAAAATAGTTTCTGCATTTAGTAACATGCACACGTAGTACGTCAATACAACAGTCCATATTAATATGCTTGCTGTAAGAAATGATGTCAACAGTCGCCAAGCATGGATTAAGCTCTTACTGTGTGCCAGGCATATGAAGGATTATACACATGAGAAGTGTATCAAGGATTCAGAGAAGGGTGGGGAGACTGACATGAACTGATGAAGAGCTAAGGAAGCAGAACCAGGAAAGCTATGCACAGTGACCACACAAGGCGGAAAGAGCAACCACGTGATGCAAAGTGAACCCCACAAAATCATAGTGAGGAAGTCTGGCTACACAGCAAACGTCTGAGCCGGCCGCCTCTCATGTCCTCCCTTGCAAAGGCGGGGGACTATGGCTGTGGAACCCTGCACACATAGGATGACCATTTTTTTTCAGTTTGTTAGTGAATTTTGCTGATTTTTTCTCTTTCTTTTATTCACCACTGTACTTCATGGATCCATTTATGAAGGGGTAGAGGGAGACACTTATTAGCCAAATCAAAGAGCTTCCAAATTACTGAAGAAAAATGAATGCACAGGACCTTCAGCTTTATTTGTCCTGTTCTATACATTACATATGAAATTCTGCATAGTATTAACCCCCTACAAACTCATGGCCTGAGTGAGCCAAGAAAAGAGCAAGATTTTTTTTCAAACCTAATATCTTCTAAAAAGGTTTGGATGAGAGAGAAAGTCTTATAATGTTTGTTGGAGTACCATCTTCAGGAGCTGCCATAGCAAAGGGCAGGTATTATGGGGGAGGCTTGCCAAACTTATTTCAATAAAAGGCACAAACGTCTTTGCCATATCAGAGCTAACACAGGGAGATATGTCTAAGCGGACACAGAAAGTGAGAGAAACAGAAAACGATTCTGAATTGGGGAGTAGCATTTAATTCTAAACAACAGCTTTTCCATCTGGGTTAATTTGAGCTGGTGGGCAAAGGATTTCCCAGAGTTCTCCTGCTTTCTACAAAACTGATGGGCAAGTCAGTCAGCCTGTCTGGACTTAGTTTTCTCCTCACTGAAAAGGGAACCTATAAGCACCTCCTTTTTTAAGGTGATTTAACAAGAAGGAAAAGGAAACGTTCTCTTCTCTCATCCCTACCCATCATCCCTTCCCTGTAACTGAGGTGAATGCTGGCAGCTCATCTGCAGTCACTAGACATTGAGGAGTCCAATGTATTGTGGATACCTACAATATAATTACTAAAGAAGCCATTTCATTTTCATTCTTGAATGCTGAAACGTTATCCAAAAAAGGTCCCAGAAGCCACTCTATCAGCCTATGTCAGGCCAGGTAATTGAAATAATTTGAAAATATAAATATAAAATTCTCTTAAATACATAATAGAAATTAAAATGGCAACCAAAGCTAGCTTCATGAACGCCCTATAAATTAGCTATTCAAAGCAGATATATTTTCCTAGATAGACGTGTGTGTGTGTGTGTGCATGTGTGTGTGACACACATGCACATACACACACACACACACACACACACACACACACATATATATATATATATATACAACAGAAATATTCAAAGTAGATCAGAGTGGATACAGTCTAGGAATATATCCTGAACGACTCTGGTTAAAACCTTTCAATTCATTGCTCCCATGATCATGCCACTTGCCACAATGAGATGCTGCCCTGAGTTGACTTTGGAAGGGTCTTCGTTAAATCTACTCACCAGTTTTTCGAAGTGGGAAGTCGTCTTTTGTGTCTTGCGCTCCAGGTAATGGGTATTTGTAGGATGGTGAGGTTCCACTCAAGGGTGGAGAGCTTTGATCTAGGGAGGTGTGGTGAGCCGCCCTGTCAAACACAAATAGAGTCACCAGTCAGCAGCACTCCAGCCTTCACGTGACGCAGACCAGACATTACCAGTCAGATACACTCTTCATTTAATGACCTGTTCGTAGTCAGAGTTTTACCTCCTGATGTAAGGACAAACATAGCCTCACCTGACCACTCTTAATGTGGTGATGTATTCTACAACAATGCAATATTCAATTTCATTTCACAGACTTTTAGTAACTTAGTATGTGCCCTCGAGAATTCCCATTGTATATTTAGTAAAATCATGCAAAGTGGTCAGTTACACCAAACATAGACCTTGCCAAGAGACTTTCAATAGCCCTCAATTGCTATGTACATTTTATGTTTTTCTAAAGAAACATGCTAGTAAAGGGAAAGAGGAGTATTCATCTTTGGGGGGTCACAGATATTTGGTGACTGAGAATGAGGTCACCTCAATGTGATTTTTCAAAAACAATAATCTTTTTAATAAGCGCATACTGCAAGGGGCAAGAGTTATCCACCAAACAAAGAGCTAACCATGTTCCTCTAGTTTCCTGGCATGAAGAGCAGCCTCATGGCTTAGTAGAAAAGCTATTAACATCTGTTCTCCTGACACAATTGGGCAGTGAAGATGTCTTGATGGGAAAATGCTGTATCAGAAAGTGTGTGAGCTCCTTGTCTTGAGAAGCTTGAAGGTGAGAGTGGATCCTAGCAAAGAGGTCCAAAGCATAGGCTTCTATGCACAATCTGACCAGTTACAGGACTTGGAGAATGCCCAGCAGCTTTCCTGTTCAACATTAATCTCACACCAAGCTGTGCATTGGATACAGAAGGAGTAGGGTTCAAATTCTGCTTCTGGAACTTATTAGCTGTGAGACCAGAGACAAGTGTCACTCAGAGATTCGGTTTCTTCATCTGTAAAATGGGAATAACACTACCTCAAAACACCTTCCTTTCAGATACAGTGTTGTGAGGCTTCAAAGAAAGAGTGCCTATAGAGTGCTTTGCCATTTTCTAACCAGGACATAAATGAGAATGTGTCATTATTATTAATCATTTATTACTCCTCAGACTAATTCCTGTTAAAACAATCACCCCAATGGCACATGGGGATCACCAGAAAAAATACAGCCTAAGTAGCATCAGAGTAGATCAAATGCTGGAGTTGGTACAGGAAAGATCTGGGTTAGAATCCTGACTCCAACACTTAAGCCTCAGTTTCTTCATCTGCAAAATAGAGCTAATGATAGTCATTTAACTGGCATGGCTGTTGGAAGACTCAAATGGGATCTCAAATGGGATCATATGTGTAAAGCCCTTTGTAAAACTCAAATACTTGTATTTTTATTTTAATATTTCACACTTAGGATAAGTCCACCTGAGCTGGCCCAGGCAAAAGTTTTAAACCTATTGAAAAGATCTGGCAAACAATGGGCACATTTTACATCCTTCTGAGAACTCGCTTTACAAAAACAAACCAAAACACTTTCGTATTTAATCATTGCAGGGCAAACGGCTGCTCCTCAATATGAGTGGGTTACCCACTGAAAATGTCCCTCCACTGCCAGTCCTTTCTCACCTCCTCCTCGCTCATCCTTGCATCTCCTCCAATGATCGTGTTGTACACATTTACCTGTTTAAATGACGTCTCTCTCTCTCTTCCCATTCAGCCCTACCAACTAGAAAGTAAGCTCCCCTAAGGGCAGGCAGTTTTCCACTTTGTGGTTTTGTCTCCAATGTTTATTACGGCAACGGGCAAACAGTAGGCTCTTAATAAATGTTTATTGGCCAGGATGAGTCTGATCCAGTAACTCAAATTATACATGTAATTGCAAATTATGCGGCTTTCCTTCTTTAAAAATGCAGGAAAGATCAGCTTGGGCTGGCTGGTCCACTCAAGAGCCTTGCAATGAATGTGAGGCTTCAGATTAATTTCTCATGTTATCCTCACACATTTCCCCATTCTGGAGAACAGGAAAGCCCTTCCTCTTTGAAAAGCAACTACTATGGTTCTTCACATTTGACACGTGATATCTACTAAGAGATTGGATTAAATGGTAAACAATATATCTCAGGGGGAAGGGGAAGCCCCAGGATGAAGTCTTGAGCAGGATAAGCAAAATCTTCATCAGACAGGGTGCTGGCTTCTCTCTTCCCTGTGAAGGTCATAAAATACGCATGCTTGGATGCCTAAAGCTGACCAGCACTTTTTTTTAACAAAAACATGAATGAAACTTTAAGAATCTATTACATCTTTTTAAGGTATAACAACACTTAACAATACTGTCCTCATCCTCTGGCCAAACGACCCTCCCTGAAAACACACGCACAATTTTAAACAAGGAAATCATTTTGCCGTCTATGTCCGTTTCATTTGCAGAAATATAAAAACGCCAATGGCTACACATTATAAAGACAACTCTCCTTTACTCTTGGAGAGTTAGAAACCAAATAATTCCAAAATGCAAAAAGAAAATTTAATTGCTGCAGGCATTTTTTTTCCTAGAATTTTTTTTTATTGTTGAAATATAAGCGTCATATATTTTTAAATCCAAAACGGGTCGACTACTATCCTATTTATTCAACAAACAAATTTACCGAAAATCCCACTTTGTCAAGTGAGTTATTCTATGGGCCAGATGCAATTGGTGAATTAAGTTGCTGTACGTCTCCCAGGACAGACCAGTTCATCACTCATCTCTTCTGGAGGGAATGTTTCTCTTTGGTCCCCCTCTCTCTCATAACCTATGGGTTTTAGCCTGTGGCTCTGGGCTTCAGTTTGGGAGTTTCATTCCCAGGGCGCCTGCCAAGGCCCACTATGGGAGGCGCAGGAAAACAGCTGGACGCAGACACCTACGCGTACCAGAGCCTGGGGTGGCGGCTCACGGAGTGGTTCTTCCCGCTCGTGGGAGAGTCCTTGGTGGCCGACTTGCTCAGCAGGAACTCCTGAAGCTTCTGCTTCACCTCCGTACTTGCCACTGCTCCTGCATCACACAGACACACACAGCGTTTGAGCCGGGCTCGCTCTCCTTCCCCAAGAACGTTCAAAGAAACAAAAAACAGCAAAATAAAACAAAAATGAATACTATAAATAAATAAAAATAAAGCCCAGAAACCCACCCACCCCAGGCAGCAAACAGAACTTCTCTGTTAGAAAGGGAGCAGCTTTCACACATCAGATCCCAAACAAGCCAATCTTGGGCAGCAGGCTTTTCAGCAATCTGAAAGCATTAGTTGTTCACTGGATATGTAAGATAAACAAGGAGACTTCACGATTTGGGGGATTCTTCTCTCTCCAGTTTCACTTTTTTTTTAAATGGAAAATGGTTTCAAAGGATTAATACACTAAAATTGACAACTTTAATTTCCCAAGCATTAAAGAAACTCGTTGGGAGGTGGGGGGGGGAGGCAGTTTCTAGTTTTGGGGAGGAAGGGACCATGTTTTCTGGATTTCTCATTCTCTGTAATAGTAATAGTCAACTTCATTTCCTGACAGGGGAATTGAAAATGGATGATTTGGCTATTTGTCAATATTTTACCAGGCACAGCTAACGAGCCCATTCTGTCCCTCTCGGATGGCTGTGAATCTCGGCACAGCTCATGCCGCTTGTCCCTCGTGAGGTGAGGCAGCTGTGGGCAGCATCCTCAGCTTGAGCTAGCACACGTGAACGTCAGCTTCAACCTGCTTTTAAACTGGCCTCATTCGGGGAATTATTTGGCTCTGTCTCCCTCTGGTGGCTGTCACTTTGCAAGGAGCCTCCTTTCCAGCAGTGTCCCTCCAGCCTGGAAGCATCCCAGAGCAAGGACGGGTGCGGAAAACCCTGGAGGCTGGTGGAAAGGGGGCCAGCCGGGGTGGGGAGACGCGACTTGGAAGAGCTCTCCATGCAAAGACACTGAAATACAAGCTGATTAGGACCCCAGTCACAAAATGGGCTCAGGCTCATTCTCACACACTCAGCACAAGGGCTGAACGAGATCCCACGGCTGTGGCAGTGATGCCCAGCGAGGGAAGCTCTAGGTTTAAAACTCTCACCGTTCACTGATTTTTCATTGAAACCAGACAAATGTGAAAAGGTTCATTTCCTTTTTCCCACCAGCCTTTTTTCTGAGTGAGGACAGGCCAAGCCCAGAGCTGGGGCAGGGGGCAGGGGAAGGCACCAGCTCGCTGGGCCAAGCCTCTTACGTTCGCGCCCTCTCTCCTTGCCTCGGAGAGGGGGCAGCTGCTGCTGCTGCTCCCGCCGGTGTCTCTCCACCTCCTGCTCCTGCCGCTGCTGCTGCTCCAACTTCTGCTCCTTCTCCAGAAGCTCCTGCTGCTGCTTTAGAGCGAGAAGTTCCTGTTGCAACTTACGAGAAGAGAAAGACGTGAGAGTTTGCAATGGGCTTGGGTCCTCCAATCATGGCCAGTCCCCCTGCTGTCAGCCAAGCTGGAGTCTTCTCCCATCTGAACTCCTAGGGAGCTTTTCCCTTCTTGGGAAGCACCATCAACAAGGGGAAAGGAAAGAGAATGATGAAGAGAGGGAGAAAGGGAGAGAGAGAAAGTGACAGAGGGAGAGGGAGAGAGGAGAGAGAGAAGGGGAAACAGAGAGAGAGAGAGAGAGAGAGAGAGAGAGAAGGAGGAGGAGGAGAGAAGAGGAAAGGAAGAGGACAGCAGGGAGAAAAAGAGAAGAATGGGTTGGCAAAGAGAAAAAGAAATGTGGGAAGGGAGAAAGGAGAAAGAAAAGTGAGTGGCTGGCCTATGTAGTATATACACAAAGCTTTTTCTGATAACCCAATCCTCCCATCTTGCTTCAGAGGAGAGGCAGAAATCTGAGTGAATTGGTACAGATGTGCCTGAAGAGAAAGTTCAAATTCCACCGACTTGGGGTGGGGCAGTTCACAAGAGCATTGTTCCCCAGAATTCTAGTGAGCCTGTGCATCTAACCTCTCCCCCTCAGCCTTCTCTTCTCTGGAACAGCAGCCCCCAGGGGCTCACATTGTCACCAAACTGCCAATTAGGGGCACTGCCTAAGAACGGGTCCAGGCTATCAGAGCACACTGGCATGGCTGGTTTGCTGCTCTTATTTCTTCCCTTAATCGTCAGGCCAATGTTCTCCCAAGCAACATCCAACTGCCTTGGGCCCCTGCACTAGAACCCGGGCCACAGAGAGGGACAGAGGCTGAACAAACACTACCCTCACTAACAGACGTGTGGACTTTACTGACTCCACTGAATTTAAACTTCTCCAAAGTAGGCAGCAAACAGGACCTCAACAAATGCTATTTCTTGGAATTTGCTTCAGGACCATAAGAATACATATCTGTGTGGGTGTGTGTATGTCTGTGTGTATCTGTGTGTCAGTGAGTGTGAGAGTATGTGCATGTGTGTATACAGGTGTGAGCATGAGTATGTGAATGTGTATGTGACTCTGTGTGTGAGCCTGTGGATGTATGTGCATATGTATGAGTCTGTGTGTCTATAAGTGTGAGCATGCATTTGTGTGCGAGTGAGTCTCTTTTTGGTTGGACCTGTGAATCCATCTCTGTGAACAATTTCTAAAGCAAGTCCCAAAGCTAAGACTCAAGAGAGGTCCTGAGGCGGTGGTCTATCACAGGACATCATGGTGCACTGGAAGGAGGGCTGAGGATCCAGTCCCAGCCCTGGTACTCACTTCCCTTATGACCTTGGGCAAGTCCCTTTATCCTTCTGAGCATCCCTTTCCTCATCTGTGAAATCAGAGGTTTGCACTGGGGCCCTGAGGTCCCTCCCAGCCCTAAATCTGGGCTCCTTCCACATCTTCACAGGCATCAGGGCTGAGTCATGGGACAACAGCATCAGAAACTGAGCAGCAGAACAGGAACTGCTCTTGACTTCTCCCAGCCTACAGGCTCTTCCATCCCCCAGGGGAAGATCTAGTCATGGTGGCTGGTGCCATTTTGGGCAGTCCTCTTGATCCCATGCACTCCCAATTAGTAATGGCCTTCATTTGTTTTCTTCTATAACTTCTCTATTGTCTTAGCCCCAGTCAACAAGCATTTATCAAGCACCAACCATATGCCATTTTATGCCCTCAGGAAGCTTACATTCTATCTAGCTCCTTTTCCCTCTGCCACACACAAAACATAACTGGGGTCCACAAAATCAGCTCGTCCCACAGCAGCTTGGCCTTGTTTGTTTTTCTTTCTTCACAGCCCCCAGAGGGCTCCAGGGACCCCTAATATACAGAGCAATCGAACCATTTTGAAATGGTCACTATACAATGATACACAATTCCAGAGGAGCTGCATACATCCAATGGGGTAAGATTCTCCAATGGTATCTCTTCCATTACAGAGATGGAGATTCCCAGAATGCAGTGCTCAGGGTCATGGGATGATGGCATTAGAGCTAGAGAGGACTTCAGAACCAAAGTCGAAGCCACGCTCTTTCCAGACGAGGAAAGGGAAGCCCAGAGAAATGAAGGAACTGGCACACAGGCAGCATGGGTCTGGTCACTGTCACTCCAAGACCAGGTACCACACCACAGTGCCTCTTACATCCTCCTCCTCATCATCGTCATCATCATCATCGTCATCTTTGCCGTCCTTGTGGTGATCATTATTATTAATATTAACAATAAGAACAAGCTTGGCTAACAAACTGTAAATACTATACACAAGATTCAGACCAGGTCTCTGGCTCCCATTAGGACACTTTTCCTCCTACACCATACTGTCAGCTGCTAATTGTGTGACCCTTAGCATTTAGCCTACCGACGCCTCAGTTTCCTCATCTGTAAAATAAAGGAGATGTCTTTTTTGTGAGGAAAAGGAACTAGGAACCATGGGGGTGTCCATCAATTGAGGAACGGAAGAAAATGCTATGGAATATAAATGTGATAGAATACTATTGTGCTCTAAAAATGATGAAGAGGACAGTTTCAGGGAAACCCAGCAAGATCTGTAAGAAATGATGAAGAAGGAAGAAGAACAATTTATATTAAAACAACAATGTTGTAAAGATAAACACACAGCTGCAATTCCAGAGGACTCATGATAAAGTCTGCCATCCACTCTGTGATGGAGAGGGGACAGATTCGACTGAGACATATTTTGGACATGTCCAAAGAAGGAATTTGCTTGACTATGTATATTTCGACAGAGGATTCATTTTTCTTTCTTTCTCAAGATGGGACAGATGGGAAGAGCAAAAGAGAAGGCGGGTTTGTTTTTTTTTTAACAAATTAAAAATTTGATTAAAAATGAATTCATCAAAGTAGTTGTTCCAGGCATGTGAGCCTATATTACAATTCACAATTTTTCTCTTTCCTGGCACCAACAACAGTGTTCTCTGCTGCTGGTGACCCACCAGACTCATGGACAAATCCAACATCCCAGCACCTCAAAACAGCTGAGGGCAGAATTGGGCCAGGGTCCCCTGTCACCAACCTGGGCATGTCCGTGTATGGTGCCAATCCCTCCCGAGCTCCCCAACCGTGCCTGGTCATGAGAGGAGCCCCCACCCAAAGCCAGGAGAGGGGAGAAGAGAGCACGGGCTACCTTGATGTGCTCCTGTAGTTGAGCCTGGTGCTGCCTCGTCAGGTTCTCGTGCTGCTTCTGGAATTCTGCAATGAGCAGCTGCTTCTGCAGGTGCTGCTGCTGCTGGATGAGCAGCAGCTCCTGCTGCAGCTGCTTCTCCCGCAGCACAGGGTCTACCATGGGCATCATCATTCTGAGATCCGTCCTCAAGTCCAAGGGCGTGACGGGGTCCAGAGTCACAGGAACCTCCGACTTCACCTCCACTGCAGGGCAGAAAGGAACAGAGACAGAAGGGATGACGACAGCAGCTTGGGAAACACCTCGAAAGCCCAAGCTCCAGGGGAAGCCTAGGAGTCGCTTCTATACAGCTCAATAATGGTGGGTGTCAAATCAGGCAAAAGGAAAGTTTAACAGAGAGAAAAGCATCATGAGATAACAATCACACCCCTGGAATCCAGAGGTTCTAATGTCTGCCCACAACATAGCTAGGGTCAGGCAAATGGAGCTTCTTCTCAGGGTGCTGAATTTGGTGGGATCTGATAGCACTCACAGACACTCTGAATCTTTGACAACAAAGCTTAGAGCCTAGTTAGCAATATTAAAGCTTCTTCCCCATCTGCCACTGCACCACATTCACAATCACATCCACAGCCCAACAGTGGGATATACCTCAGAATCTTGATCAAGGGGCCTATTATTCCCACTGTAAGTGAGGAAGAACGTTGGGCCACTTTTGCAACGCTTGACTTAGGGGCAAACATTCCAGTTACAGCTCTATGCACAAATGTAGGCCTCAGAAGCATCTGCGTTGTCTTTCCAAAGGAACATGGGATAAAAGAAAGAGAAATAATGCTGAATATGGGTGTGAATCCTGACTCTGGTTCTTCTGCTTCTCTAAGTCTCACTTTCCTCAATTTAAATTGATGGGGTGAAATAAGTGACCTTTAAGAACGAGCCTCTGGGTTAAGTGGATCAAGGAAAGAAATCATACTGGAAAAGGAAACTGACATGAACACAGTAAATTAATTAATTCAGTAGAACATTAGTGTTACATCAAACTGAGAGATCTCTAAAACAAAATGAAAGAAAAGTCAGTTTAAAACAGGCAAAGGTGATGGCAGGGAAGGAATGAACATTTATATCGTCCCTCCTATGTGCCAGGCACTGTGCTAAGCATTTTACAAATATTATCTCACTTGATCTCACAACAACGTTGGGAGGCAGGACTGTCATGATCCCCATTTTACAGATGAGATAACCAAGGCAGACAGCAGTTAAGTGACTTGCCCAGGTCATAGAGCTAGTAAGTTTTTGAGGCAAGATTTGAATGAGTCTAGGCCCAGAGCTCTATCCACTGCATTACCAGTTGCCTTCTAGGATAGAAGATTTAGTGACTCCCCATGTCTTCCTTTTCAAATCCAAAGCCCTGCATAGTCTGGCTCCACACCATCTTAGCAGACTCGTCCCACATTATTTCCCCACATACAATCTGCATTCCAGCCAAACTGTACTAGCTCCCTAAAAGACAGCCCTCCCCCCTCAATGCCTACACACAGTTTGCTTGCCTGCCCCCTTCTCCTCACCTCTGCCTCCTGGCAGCCAGGGTTTACTTCAAGACCAGACTTAGGAGAAAGCTCTACATGAGGCCTCTTCTGATCCCCTCCCCCCAACTGTTACTATTCTCCCCTGACCCCCCAATTATTACTCAGTATATACCGTGCCTTCGCTAATGTGTTCTCCAGACCCACTTCCAGTAGAATGTAAGCTTCTTAAGGGCAGGCACTATCTCTGGATCTTAGTACCTGCACACAGCAAAGGCTTAATAAACGCTTGCTCGACTTGGGGATCAAGAAGTAAGCCATATATATCAGAGTAACACCTCCAAATGGCACAGAATCACAGAGTCTGGTGTGATCTGAACCTCGGACCCAGTTCAAACAGGAAAGGAGCCCTTGCTCCACCATACTGGACAGGGGTCAGGTGGTTATTCAGCCTTTGCTTAAAGATCTCCAACAAGGAAGAGAGAGCTCAACATTGCTGGCTGTACATACATATGCATATGTATGTATGTATGTATAAATATATATACACATGTATATATAACAGACAAATATATTTTAGTTTGACATTCATTTTTTTCTGAATTCCAAATTCTCTCCCTCTCTCCCAAACCTCTCCCTCTTTGAGAAGGCAAACAATATCATATCAATTATATATGTGAAGTTATACGAAACATATTTCCATATTATTCATGTTGTAAAAAAGAAAGTAAAAAATATGTACTTCAATTTGCATCTTTCCCCAGAGATGGCTAGCATTTTTTATTATAAGTCCTTCAGAGCTGTCTTGGGTCACTGTATTACTGAGAGTAGCTAAGTCATTCACAGTTGATCATCATACAATATTACTGTTACTGTGTACAATACTGTCTTGGTTCTGCTAACTTCACTTTGCATCAGTTCATATACATTTTCCCAGGTTTTCTGAAAGCATCCTGCTCGTCATTTCTTACAGCACACCAGTATTCTGTCATAATCATATAAATGAGCTGCTACAAATATTTTTGTACATGTGGGTCCTTTTCCCTTTTCTTTGATCTCTTTGGGATGCAAGCTTAGCAGTGGCATTGTTGGATCAAAGAGTATGCAGTTTTATTAGCACTTTGGGCACAGTTCTACATCATTCTCCAGAATGGCTGGATCAGTTCACAACTCCACCAACAGTGTGTTAATGTTTCTATTTTCCAACATCCTCTCTAACATTTGCCATTTTCTTTTTCTGTCAGGTTAACCACTTTGACAGGTATGAGGTGAGACCTCTGACTTTTTTTTTTAATTTGCATTTCTCTAATAGTGATTTATAACTTTGTTTTTCATATGACCATCAATAGCTTTGACTTCTTCTGAAAATTGCCTATTCATATATCAACTGGGGAATGTCTCTTATTTTTTTTTAATTTGGTCCAGTTCTTTGTATATTTGAGAAATGAGCCTTCATCAGAAAAGCCTGCTGTAAACATTGTACCCCCACTTTCCCATTTTCCTTTTAATTTTGGCCACATTAGTTTTACTTATGCAAAACCTTTATAATTTCATATAATCAAAATTATCCATTCTACTTCCTGTGATCCTCAATATCTCTTATTTACTCATCAACTCTTCCCTTATCCACAAATCTGACAGGTACACTTTTCCATACTCCCCCAATTTACTTAGGATATCACCCTTTGAGTCTCACTCATTTATCCACTTTGACTTAATCTTGGTATTTGGTGTGAGATGCTGCTCCATGCCTAAGTTCTGCTGAACTGCTTTCCAATTTCTGTAGCAATTTTTGTCAGATGTTGAGTTCTTGCTCCCAAAGCTTGGATCTCTGGGTGTATGAAACATTAGATTCCTATGGTCATTTATACTGCATATTGTGTGCCTACACAATCCCTGAGCCAGTAGGAGATTGTTTGCATGATTACCACTTTGTAATATAGCTCCAGATATGGAACTGCCAGGGATGGATGCACTTTTGAACTGTTCTCATTATTAGCAAAGCTTTCCTGTGGCCCCTGTGCACCGTTTCCCCATGGCTGCTGGGTCTGCCTTCTGGAACCCAACAGAAGACCTTAGCTGCCTCCTTGTGAAACAGCCCTTTCAATACCTCGATGCAGCTACCATGGTTACCTTCAGTCTTCTCTTCTCCAGGCTAACTATGACCAGATCCTTCCATGGAGCTTCATCTTCCATGGACTCAAGGCCCTTTCACAACCTGGCTGCCCTCCTCTGCACCACCTCCAGCCATCACCTTAAACAGGGTTCCCAGGCCAAGAGGCTGAAGTTCTTCCTAAATGAGGTGGTGACAAAAGCCTTCATTCTATAAACACATGAGCAGGAGCTTTTGCTGCTCCTTGTAATCTTGGGTTTCGATATCTGCCAAGGGGGCGGCCTTAACCTCAAAGACACTTTTCCACTTAGAGATGGAGGCTCAAGACACTTCTTCCCCCCTTATCAGAGATGTTGTCACAGGGTTGCCTTCCAAGACAAGCTTGGACTGGATGAAAGAGGAGTTTCCTTCCAATTTTACAATTCTGAGGTTACCTCCAAATAGCCAGTCCTGGACAATGTCAATGATAACCTCTCCTCATCAAAGTTCAAAAGGTCATACTGCAACCTCTATTCTTTATGTGGAAATCCCAATAAACAGAGGTCAGAATTCAGCCCTATAAACATACACAGAACTTCATGTTTAAAGATGCATGGGGTATATGAGACCCCACATGTCTATTTTGTCTGGTTTTCTTATAGTCCATAAACTAGAAACATCAACCCTTTAAAACATGCGCACAGGCGCGCACACACACACACACATACACACATGCGCACGCACAATTCTCTCTCCTTTCCAATAAACCCCCCAAGCCCCTGAACCAGTTACTGTAAACCTCAAAGAGTAATTTGCCTTCTTAACCTGCTATCCCAACAGATATGATTGGTTCTAACTGCTTGCTTTTATTCAGAGTCTAATCACTAAATTGTGAAAAATCACCCTCAACTTACCCAAAGTGCTCGTGATTATAAATAATTGCCCCAGACCGAGAGAAAGCGGCAGGCAGGATCCCAGCCTTTCATCCAATTTATTCAGCAGCCATCCACATTCCATTTGTCTAGACTAAATATAGCAGCGTTTATACAAGAAATCAGGAGTGCTACCCGGGAGCACAGGAAAGACATGAATATTTCATCAAATACAGGGCGGCGTGGCAATCTGCAGATGGATGGAGGAGCTCAGGGCTGGTCATCTCTGGCCTGATGGACGCAGGCCTGCTCCTTGAAAAATAGCTCATTTCTAGCCAGTCTTCAGGTTGTGGAACCAAAGGCATCTGTTCTGGATTTGGTTTAGTTTTTAACATAAATTGTGACAAAGCCCCATCCCACTCAAAAGAGAGTGATGGGATTTGTTACATCTTCAGTGAAAAGATAATAAACTGAATGCAGAAAAATGGGAGCAGCCTCTGCAGGAGTCGGCTGCTTCTGGACATTGCCTTATGGAGGATTCCTGTGCCCAGCACAGGATGGCACAGAAAACCACTGTCCACAGCTGCCAAGTCACCACCACTAGCCAAAATGCAGCCCACCAAGAAACACCAACCACTGGGCGTGACCCCAGGAGACAGGAGGTTAGCTCTGTCATCAGAAGAAGGTACACGTTGTGTCTGCAGGGATTCAAATGCCTCCAAGAGTAAGTGGCTGATTGTATAGAGATAGAGAGAAAC